AATTAAATCTTTATAAAAAATTTTGATGTCTTTTTTAAAAAAATAATTCCTTAACATTAATCTTGCAGACTTTTTTAGCCATTATTAATATCAAAATAACCATGGACTTTTGTTTCTATGGATTTTATCACAAATATTCTAATTTCAAATTCATATGATATTATATTTGTGATATTAGATTGTTTTACTAAAATGGCATGTTATGTATTATGTACAAAATCTATCAATGGTGAAAAAATAGCTAAACTTTTCCTTCATAATATTTATTGCTATCATGGATTTTTAAGGAATATTACATCCAACAAAGAAAATTAATTTGTATCAAGGTTTTAGAAAATTATTTTTAAGATATTAAAATTAAATATAAAATTATCTTTGGCTTACCATCCCTAAATTGATATATAAAAAATAAATAAAATAAGTTTTGGAGCAATATTTAAGGTATACCATCAACTACCATTAAAATGATTGCACAAGTCTTTTACTATTAGCAAAGCTTAGTTATAATTACATGATATATTCTTCTATTGAACAATGACTTTTAATTTTTATTTTATTTATAAAATAAAAAATATTAATAATATCTATATTAATCAAATAAAATAGTTATATATATGTATGTATTCTTTTATATAAAATGTAGTATTTTTAAAAAATAAAAGTATAAACAAGAAGTAGTATTAGATCAAACATGAAGGCTATAAAATCTTTTATTAGATTTTTAAAATTTTAAGAAACTACTATAAAAATATTCCACAATAGAAGCATTTTTTTGACATATCTTTTGTAATAAAGAAGTTTTTATATGATACTTTTGTTTATAAAAATATACAAGTCTAAGATTGTTATCTATTTTGGTAATTAAAAATATATATATATATATATATATATCTATATATATTTAATAACTATTTTTATTTAAATATATTACTTTAAAAATATATATATTTCAAAAATATAAGTTTTTTAGTAAAATAAAAAATAATCTAAAATATATCCTTTATTAAATTACACATTCAATTATTTACAAAGATATTTCAAGTATTTAAAAGATGTATTAGATAAAAGTTATCTCTAATTATAGTAATTTAGAATAAATAATAAAAATTACTAATATATATATATATATATATATATATATATGATTCTTTTTTTATTAAATTTTAGTGCTTAATTATGAAAAAAATAATTTAAATACTCAAAAAATATATTAATTATTCTATCAAGACTTTTTCCAATTTACTATTACTAAAAATATTAATTTTAATGCTAGAAATATATATATACATTATTGATTTTTTTATAACATAAAAATAATTATAATTTTAGATGGTATTAATATAGATTTTTACATTTATAGAGAGATTAATCTATTCATTTTGAAGATATAATAAGAATTTATTCTTTAGCCACAAAAGACCTTTGTATAATAGATAAATCTACACATATATATATATATATATATATAGGTATTATTTACATCTTGGTTGGATTTAATATTTTTTTAAGATATATATATATATATATATATATATATATATATATATATATAATAATTATATTAAAAAAATTTTTTATTTTAATAGCATATTTTTTTAATTTTTAAAAGTTTAACTAAATAATTTTTATATATTGTTAGTTTTTCTCTACATTTGATGTTAGTATTTGTATCATATACAGAAAACTATTACATCATTGTATTAAAAAGGCAAACAAATATGGTTCTAATTGACACCTTACAGATTCTTTTTTTGTCTCCGAAATAGATTAAGTTTCAACTACTTTTATAAGACTACTCACAAATCCTCCCAGAAACAATAGTCTTTCCTTTTGCACTTCTTTGAAACACAAATACAAGTGTTTACAGTTGTATGTTTTATCTCCTTAAGATTGCACATAGCGAGCGAGTCTTGACCACTAATCATTCATTCTGATACGACCCCCAGCCGATAGAGAAGTATGTACTATTCTGCTCTCCACAGTCCATTCTCTTAGTTTCCTCAAACGTCACACTCTTGCCTTCATATTTCTTGCCATACTTGTGTACAGCTGCAGGTGAAGTGCTAACTCCGAAGTGCATACAAGTCTGGCCAGAATTATGGCCTACAGTTCAGTTATGAGTACAATACAGCAGAATTTCTGGCCTAATTAATTTTGTTTGAGTACTGTGACCTAATGAGAGTGCGACCTGCTTTTGCTTCTGCGTCTACTGCGGCTACTGGGGCCATGACTGAGCAGCCATGAGCACGGTCCAAGCTTCTAGGATTTGTGAGGTGTGATTCTTGAATTGATGGAGATTGGACGCATTATTCAGAAGATTTCCAACGGGTATTGTCAAGCACTGAGCTGCAGGAGAGCAACCAAGCAGGTCTAAAACAGCTGGATGGCAATAGGACATTTGTATTCATATATATATAGTATTATATATATATATATATAAATGAACTTACAGAAGTGCGTGTATGTGTAAACTGGTGCTTACTACGTTCATAAGGACCTTGGATGCAGTCTGGTGTGAAGCTTTTACATTCGTTGTTGAATATTTGAGTACGGTGCAACAAATCTATCCAGAGTGTCGATATTCTGTTTTTCATCACATTGATCATGGGGAGACGTAACACGCAGTTTCGACTTGGCTACCAAATTATGCAGCCTCGTGGCGACTGCTCTGAAGCCCTAACTCATGCTGCTAGATAATTACAGTAGTTATTCCATATTTGTAAAATTAATGGCGCAGGTGGTGGATGAGCAAGTACATCGTTTCTCAACAGCCGAATTAGTGTTTTGTACTTTCATACATTGAACGAAACTGTTGTACTGGAGCATCCAAAGCCCATGAATTCCAGGAGATTTTTCCAAGCAACTTCTTTGTCACATGCGTGGGGTCATGATCGTCTCAGTTGACTAAACTCACAGTTCATTATATCCACGTGAAAATAAATTAAAATAACAAAAATCATAAAACCCTGTTCAGAGTGTCAAAGGCAGGCAGAAATGCCTCAATCGCAGATGCTACAGCAAAGGCTGCAAATTTCAGAGTTCGCCACCACATCAACATCTCACCCAAGTTGCTTCAAGAAGCCCCAGCTTATCATACGAGGGACACATGACCCGGAAATCCAATTGGACATCTCATCGCCAAAAGATGTAACTGGACCGTTTCGTCCCACCGTAAGCTTCTGACTGCAATAAGTGGGACCCTATTGACATGAGCTGGTTGGCATGGCACCGCGGCCACATTTTGCGCATTGATGGGTGATGTCGTGATACTGTGAGGTCTCTTAAATGCACATCGATGGAGCAGACGAAGTTCCCGCCGAGCTTGAGTGCTGCAGGCAGTCCCCTAGTGCGCAGGCCGAGCCCAGCCCAACCCAACCCACCCTCGGCAGGAGGCTTGGAGGTGGCTAGTGTCAGGTCCACTCGCGGCAGCTAAACACAGTTGTCCGATTAGTCTGCTTGATGGCGTCAGTCAGTCAGTCAGTCATCAATGCTTGCACCGCATAATTGCATCGCCTGCCATGCCAGACATACCAGTATGGAATCAGGGCTGCAGTCATGAAGATCACTCAAAAGATTTCAAATCTCTACAACGTAGTCCATCTTTGTTTTGAATGACTCACCCCTCGAGGCAAAAACTCATGGAGGTTTCGGCGAATGCGAGCTTCACTGAGAGGTGTCTGATTAAAGCTCACAGCTTCCATGTGTCAACCCTTGCAGATTTTATTCTTATTAATGTATAAAGTAAAAAATACCTATTTCATTGGATATGTACATTTTAGGAGGCTTACCATCAATTTTAAGCACAAAAGGACAAATTGAGTTGCCAAAATACAATATTTACCACAGAATTATATTATTCATTTTGTATTATCATTTTATTCATTCTGTATTATTATTTTACTCGTTCTGTATTATTATTTTACTAGTTCTGTATTATTCTCATCACTCATTCTTAAATCTACTGATTTTTTACAATAATATTTTATTAGTATTATTATTAAAAATGACTTCTCAATAAATAAACATATTTATATTTATACATAAACATATGCCCTTCAAATTTAGAACATTGCCCACCTACTTTTTCCTTCTAATATAGTACAATTAGGATGTCTACAAGTATTTAATGAGCTTTAAATGCAAGGCTACCCCTCTTCTGCAACTCTAACATGCACTAGAATTGAAGCTTTTGACATGCTCTTTACTAATGAGGAAACCTTTGTCCTATATTTTTTTTGATATAAAGCAATTAGAACATTAGAAAGGCCATAGTATACACATGTTTTTTATTTTTTATTATTATAAAAAATAAGAGATATTTTGCACAAAAGAACGTTTAATATATATATATATATATATATCTATTTTTTTTATATGTAATCACTATAACTTCAAGAAGCAAGTTTTACATGTAAAATTTCATTTCATGCATTGACTTTCTTTGCATTACAGAATCAAATCATATTGTTGTAATTTATTTTGAAAAACTCCTATTAATCTTGGAATGTAATTACCAACTTAAGCACACAAACTAAATTTTTTTGAACTTGTACGACTTCTTCATGTAGATGAATATTGCTTTCAAATATTCATCCTCCCTATAACCCATTTACGAGGTCGATTCTTCGTGATCACCTTGCTATCAATAAAAATAGAATAACTTTAATTCCTTTAAAAAAGAGAAATTAACCCAGAGTTGCTTAACATATTTGGCAGTCCACAACAAAAAAACAGACTTGTGAAGCATTATCGCTCATCATGCACATGAACCTACTATTTGGTACGAAAATCCAAAACAACAGCCCACCGGGCAACAATACGACAACGAGTATGACAACAAACCCAATAAAAAAAAACACAAAAAAATAAAAAAAATAAAACAGAGAGAGTAATAAAAATTCCTGGATCAAAGCCAGGCTGCATGCTAAGGGACCATGAGTAGGCTCGCACTCATTCCTCGAAACCGACAGTCACATAAAGCAGCTTTGCAAACCTAATCTAACGAGATCAGGAGGCTGCAAATTCCATCAGCAAATCAACCCAACGCAAGGCCGCATTGAGGCCGACAGGGAGGTGGTGGAGACAGTCCACTGAAGTCGATAACAGACTCTCCATATCCATCATCCATGCTGCATCTGCTGCAGTCCTGCACCCTGCTTACACTTCAACAGTCATCTGTTGGTTATGAAATTTGCGCAACTCCTGCGATGGTGGTAACGCGAGGGTACGCCCTCAGTTTCAATGCGTGGAAGACTACGCTGTGTCGCTGAACCAAACCCACCCCTGCTTCTGCGCTGGATTATTTGCCTAGTGACCATGTAGGTGACATGCAGGAACAATCGCCGATATAGCAAGCAACAGGTTCTGGAGTTGATTAACCTTGGAGTGCTGCGGCTAATCAAGTTGACTGTGTGTACCGACTACATGGGTGTGAAGGTTTCTTCACAGGTGTTCAACTACTTCGTGGGTTTGCTCGAGGTTCTCATCTTGGCAGTTTTGTTGTGTCTTCACAACTTGCCGGTACGGCTCCAGAATGAAGGAGGTGTATATCGGGAATCAGTCGTGGACTAAGTGGGTGACGTTCAGGCGGCGTTTTGCACACGAGCTCGTGCAGGTTTTTGGTTCGGCTCATTAGTTGCTAAGTATTCTTCGTAGGGGGTTCCTTTGTCTTCAACGCTTCGTTCGGTGCTTTCTGCAAAGAAGCGGAGATTGCGTTCGTATGTGGAGATCGAAGTCAGTTGTTCTACTAGGGTTGCCATGTACTGTCCACTCGCGGTTAACATTAGAAAAGATAGATTTGGAACGAAGGGAAGTGGCCTGCAAGGAACCACTTGAAGTCGAAGCTAGCGCGCTGGATCAAGCTGCAAGGTGCCTTTTTTCTGGACTGAGGTTCGACGACGTCTTGGGTGCAGTACAAGCAAATCCCAGATTTTTATTGGATCATGGTGTCGAATTGCATGGAATACCCGATAGCTCGTCTCACATGGTTGTATGGAACATTGGTCTAAAATTCATGCCAAGGTTTTCAAATAACGCACTTGAGGTTTGTACAGCGCCCAGATTTGAGCATTGAGCTATTTTTGGACGCTACAGTGATATTCAGTATTTTTTTCGGTAGAAAGAAAAGGGGAGACATGAAGAGTCACTCAAAGCAGCTTGTGCAGGAAACAGAATCCTCGGCGGCTGTATGAGGCGTCGGTAACAAACCTTTGAGTCGGTGGCATCGTTTCTGAAAAAGAAAATGGGGACTTGGAATGTGATACTGACATTATTGCCATTGCTACTCGCGGTCGATGCACAAAGTGGGTCTGTGAGTCCGGCTCCAAGTCCGGTCCCTGTCTCGTCAGGATATAATTGCAGCACAGGCATCGCTAAGCTCAAGCCAAAGGAGATAGACCCATGCAGCGGCACGGATGCTTATGCGAAACTCGGTGCATGTTCGGAATACATGAATGGAAATGTGTTTACTCCGTCTGCCAATTGTTGCGTAAGCGTTCAGAGTGTGTGGTCTGAATTGCCAGCATGCTTTTGTAAAGTCACTTTCCAGTCCAAGTTTGCACCTCCCGGACCTGCTCGAGCGCGGGCACGTCCTTTGGTATGTGGTATCAAGGGAGACTTATGCCACGACTGTCCACAGCATTTTGGGGGCCCACCGGATTTGGAATGCGCCGCTAGCATCGCCACACAGTACAAGCTTCCTGAACAAGATGCATGTAATAATACGACTGCATATGCAGACCTTGGATCATGTTCATCATACATGAGTGGTGACGTGTCCATTCCGTCTGCGGAATGTTGTGACAGTGTTCGTCAAGTGTGGAGCGAAGAACCGGCCTGCTTTTGCAAGGTCACATTCTTTTCAAGATTTCAAAGCCCTGCAGCTGCGAGAGCGCGACCTCTGCTGTGTAATATCACCGATGATTTCTGCACCCGTTGCCCTGCACACTTCGTCAAAGTTTCCGCTCGTAAGTGTACAATCAGACTGTCGGCTTGCATCAAATTCGCATTCTTGAAATCATTTTGACGCATTCACGAATGTTACCGATACTTTGGTCATAGACGTGGGACAAGGAGACACTGAACTGTTTCTTTGCCTCTCATCATGTTAGTCTCACGCAAGCTTTAAAGTCTAAACCATATTAATCAAGATTATGCGTGGCACGTAGTCATATCATTGACAACAGCCTGCTTGTTATGCATGGCATTTTTTGTGCTGGCCGTATTGCAGGAGTTAAGAGGAACTACAAGGCGATTGTGGCAGGCATTTCTATTGGCCTTGTGCTTTTGATTGTTGTATGTTGCGGTCTGCTGTGCTGCAGAAAGAGAATCTTCCGCAATTATTACGAGAAAGTAGATTACGCCCAGCAATGCAATGGTAATAACGATTCCTCGCTCGCCATACCACTCTTCATCTTAATCTGATGGGCCCTGCCTAGTCTGTTCTTGAAAGTGCACTGATTATTATACTGCATGCGCAGAAATCCGAAGTATCGAAGGAAAGCCCACAATCTTCCCTTACAGTATTCTTAAGCATGCCACCAACGACTTCAACTCGGAAAGCAAGCTTGGAGAAGGCGGATTCGGCTCGGTCTTTAGGGTGATCGAAATCTTCACCATCCCGCCTGGACTCTACACACTTCTGTGTTTCCTTCTGACAGAATCGCAACCATAATCTCACCGATTCTGCACATGATCCCCATCTTTTATTTTTCGAAGTTGATCATGTTGTTTTCTTTGACTCCTTGCTTCAACATGTACACTCCCTAAATTCGTTGTTGATGACACCAGGGAGTGCTTCCAGATGGTGTGGAGGTGGCGGTCAAGCAGCTCTCAGCGAAGTCTCAGCAAGGAAACGATGAGTTTCTGAACGAAGTGACTCTCATCACTAGCGTCCAACATAGAAATCTCGTGAAGCTAAGGGGATGCTGTCTCAAAGGCAAGGAGCGGCTTCTTGTATACGAGTACTTGGAAAACAAGAGCCTTCACCAAGCCATGTTCGGTGCGTGATATCGTCAAGTTTTCTTTTACCAGTCCAAGCGAATGCCCAACAGCTGTCCGTCTCGTAGATGTCAAATATTCTTCTGTTGTGGAAGAGCTAGATGAACTGTATGGCTCGCGTCAAAGATAGTCTTCGGCAAATTCTCACTCGATCCTGGAGACCTGACTTGCGCATATGAAGACCTCATACCTCACCGCTATACACGTTTATACTCCAGATAAACCACGAATGCAGATGGATTGGCAGACCAGGATGAAAATTATTGATGGCATGGCGCGTGGACTTGCGTACTTGCACGAGGGATGCCACACTCGAATTGTGCACCGTGACATCAAAGCGAGCAACATTCTCTTGGACAGAGACCTGAACCCCAAGATTGCAGACTTCGGGCTGGCTCGCATCTTCTCAGAGAATGACACCCACGTCAGCACTCGTGTTGCTGGCACGGCGTAAGTTTCACCTATCCAGAATCCAGTCAGTGTGCAAAATGTGGACCTATTCTCAATCATAGTTAAGTAGCGGAATGGAGCCTTTCAACAATCAACATTCACTCAGGAATTATTTGACGATGTTTTCTTCCGGACCCAATCAGTTTTAGAGATAGAAATACATTTGTGAAGTGGCTGATAGCAGAGATGGCATCTGATGGGATTCTCAGGGGATATCTAGCGCCGGAGTATGCGATGCGAGGACAGTTAACAGAGAAAGCAGATGTGTTCAGTTATGGTGTGGTCGTACTAGAGCTCATCAGTGGCCGTCCTAACCTTGACCTCCACGTTGCATCACATGCCACGTACTTACTCGACTGGGTATGTGATGTCCTCAAGCTAATGAGTCCCTCAAATGCAAACATCTCCAAGCTGATAGTTTTTGAGTTTAGTCCTGCTGGGACGTAGTCTGGGATGGACACCATTGCTTTGAGCATTCACGATCGAGGACTGATGTGTTGTTGGTGCAGGCATGGGAATTGTACGAGGAGGAGAACCTGATCGATCTTCTAGACGGCGCAGTCACTTGGTCCGAAGACGACAGGGAGGAAGCACTCCGAGTCGTAGAGATGGCTCTCCTGTGTACGCACTCACGCGCTACACTACGGCCCAGCATGACAGCCGTGGTGTCGATGCTGGCGGGAGGGAGCGAACTGATCATTCCCAAGTTTGCGAGGTATGATGTGCGCAATTACAGCGACTTAGACTTCAAATTCTCAGGGACGAAGAGCGACAAACAGATCTCAGGGTCCACGGTTCGATCTAACAACTCTCACGGTGAAGTTTCAGCCTGTAGCACTAACAATAGTGGTGTTGTCAGTTGTCTTGAGCCTCGGTAAAGATCGTGGGCACGCGCATGAAAATGGAACTATTCTGTGTATTCAGTCCCCAAATTTTGAATTGAACTGCTCATCATTCTCACCCCACAGGTCATGTCCTGTGGCGTATAAATTCTGCAAGCTAGACGTTGAATTCAGTTACATGCCAGTGAACTCCATTCTCTGGTCAAGTCACTGGAGTAGGTGGTATTATGCCACGAATGTCTTCTGAGTTGAGTAGAGCAGCCTTCGTTGTCTGCCGCCATAGGCACATATCTAAAAGAATGAACTGGATTCAGCTTCGGACAGTATCCCGAAGACTTCAGCAACCTCAAGTTGGTTCTCATACAAAAATGGTCATGGTCTAAGTGGTAGGGATTGGCAAGTCAGTGATTGGCACGCCAGTGGAAGACTAATGAAGGCGAATAGGTTTCCTGCATGAGAGTATGAGGGCAAGTTCTTGGATTGGCAATGAGGCTTTGAGCAGTGAAGCAAATTTAACAAAAATTCAATTAAATTATTTAAAAAAAAATTGTTTTACTATTTGTACTATTTTTTTTAATAGGCATGATAAATAATATTATTTAAATTAATAGTCAACATACTATGTTAGTTTATGGGGGTCATTATCCACTCTGTAGCATGATAAAGTAGCTATCTTAGTAGTAACAGGCTCTAAAAAGCCCTTCCACGAAGACTTTCAAATCCTTATAACTTTTAGTCCAGAATAATCAGGCCATGTTTTAAAATATGTCAAATAGACCAATATATGACATTTCCTTTTCAAAACGTTTTCAAGAAATAAATATCTTAGTGCTTCTTCAGTAGGACCTTCAATCAACAAGTTTTTAAAAGTTTTTTTTTTTTTTTTTTTTTTTTTTTTTATACTTCTTGCTTGATTCTTAAGACTAATTTCTATTAGATATTTTCTACATAAATTTCACTTCTTAGAAACTCATTTATAATAGTTAGTAGGTTGGAGAAGCTTAATAAAAGTAATTTTAGTTATTAATAAAGTTAATAAGATATTTATTTGATTTAGATTGTAATAGTAGTTATACAATAATTATCAAGGTATAGAAGAATATTCTTAATTTGATAGTATAATCTTAAAAACAATAAAATATTTATTAAAATTAATAAAAAATATTTTAACAATAATTTAAAAATACTTCTTTAAAATTTAATAAAAATAAATATACCTACTTGATAAGATTTTTCTATAGAATTGAAGTAAGATTTGAATTTTTTTACCAAGTTTTAAACTAATATAGTATCTTTTTAATATCATAATAAATTCAAATGTACCAAAATATTACATTTATTATAAAAAAACTAATATAACCAAAAACTAGTAGAAAATTGAATATATTAGTTTTTCATATGTATTTACTAATATCTTGAAAAGAATTTTCTTAAACAAAGATACAATTTGATCCCATCTATCTAATATAATATCCCTTCGCAAGCTTTGATAGCAATAAATATTATCAAAAAAGAAGCTTTTTATTTTTTTTATAAATAATATTTTTTTAAATGTTACAAAATATGTCATCTTAGTAAAATAATCTATTATAACAAATACAAAGTCATAAGAGCTTGAGATCAAAAGATTGGTGATAAAATCTATAGAAAAAATTGACCATAGGTGTTTTGATATAGGTAGTAGTTAAAAAATGCATAAGACTAATGATAAGGAATTTTTGATCTTGAACAAATATCATATTATTGTTTAAAGTCTTTAATTGCCTCCTATATTTGAAATTATTATAAATTTTTTAATATTAATTTTAAGGCCTTTTGTATCCAAAATATCTTATAGTAGTGAAATTACAATAAGCTTAGAGAACATGTAATTGTACTTCATTTTTTGGAAAATATAAGCATCTCTTGAAATAGAAAATATTTCTTCTTAAATTAAAATTTAGAAGTATGACATTTAAAAGAATTGTTCTTAATATCATGTATAAGAGGATCTAAGGACATATTTAATTGAATTGGATCAAAAAACATTAAATCAATAATAAATATTGATTTTATTCTTCACACATGAAATTGATTTAGCTTCAAATTAATTTTTTTATTATTAATTAAAAATAATATTTTTCTTTTTTTGGTATAAGATAGAATTGTAATTAATCAATCTATGATAGATTGAATTTTTTTCAAGATCTATTAAAAGATTATTATTTGAGAAGATATATTATAAGAAGTCAACTTGAGTTATATAAAATATATATATATATATATATATATATTTTATCTTGGCATATAATTCTATATCTCCAAATTTTTGTAATAAATAACATTTGTGGAGTTCATGGTCTTTTTTGTTCTTAGAGTAGATTAAAATGTTGTTAAGATAAAAAAAAATAAAAAATAAAAAATAAAAAAATGACCAAATCATCAAATTATTTTTTTTAAAAAACATCATCATTAGATGCTAAAATAAATTTAGTATATTTGTGATTCCAAAAGGCATGACATTATATTCAAAATGATGTTACTTAGTTCAAAATGCAACCTTCTATTCATTTCTTTTTTTTTAATGTATACCAAGTTATATTATCTTTGTAGATCTATTTTAGTACAAATATTTATTTGATTTAATTGATCAAGAAGTCTTGATATTAAAAATAGAAGGTATCTATTCTTGATGATAATTTTATTAAGTCTTTGATAATTCATGTACATTAGTAAAAATCTATTTTCTTTCTTCACAAACAAGATAGATATTGTTTTTAGAAATTTTGAATGGAATATAAAGTTCTTAGCTAAGTTTTTATTAATATATTTTTTGAATGAAGCTAACTTATTCTTTGATAAATTACAAATTAATGTCACAAATATACATAGATATTCTAGTAAATATCTATATGATTAGGTAGAAATAGATAAAAGTAGATAAAAGTAAGTTAATTTCATAATACCTTCATAGATGTAGCTTTGACTTTACATGTATTTATAGTTGATTGATAGATTAGAAACTTAGTTAACAAGTTAATCATATATTAGTAGCTTACAAAATAAGCTAACTATGTGGCATCTATATAGAAAACTTTCCTCACAAGTTAAGATACGTGTCTTGCAAAGTCAACATGTTTTGGAGGTTTTATAAGATATTGCCACATAGCTCCTAGTTAAGAGTATATATAGAGGTAAGAGTGAAGCCTTCTTCACTCTTGTCAACATCTTTTTAGTCCTTAGTCTTATTTCAAGACTTTCTAATCTTTTTATTTTTAGAAATAGTCATTCTAATTTAATATTATATCATCTTTGTATGACTTTCTAGTTCTTTTCAATAACTTAAGAGTGTATTGAGGATTTTCTTTCTTCAAGATTCATATCCTTGAAAGTTTGACAAGAGTTCTAATTTATTATTTGTATCTTGTATTAGAAGACACTGGATTACTTCATTTTTATTATTGTATTTTGAAGGTTGCGGAGTATCCGCCTTTAAGCAAATAATATTATTTTTTAATATCGATCTTTTCCTTAAAGAGAGTAGATTATCTCTCTTTGTAGAAATTTTCATTAGAGGTTGCAAATTACCTTCTTCTAATTTAATTTTTTGAATTTGTTTGAGTTGTCTATGGAAGAAAAGATTATCGATGCTAGTCTCAATGGAAGTGAGGATAGATTTGCAACCATTGTAGATCTTCATGAGCTTATCAACACTCTAAGAGTGAAAATCTCATGTATTTTTATTGTGAATCATGGAGGTACTTTACCTACACCTATAGAAGAAGTTTAGAGTCTACCGCAAGAAATTGTATAATTGAAGGAAGCAAATAGATCAACCTCACAACCAAATCCAAATCACTTTCTTGACCAAGCTCTTATTTTTATGGCAAGACTTACGGTCAGCCACCATATATGCTATTGAATTTCAAAACTTGTCTTGTAATATGGATTAAAATGACAACGCTCTTATCAATCAATTTTGATATAAGTTGAAGGATAATGTCAAAGATTTGTTATTGACAATGAGAAAAGGAAAAATCTTTCAAACAATTTATTCTTTAAGCTATTACATGTAACAATTAATTATTTCAAAGACATCAAGAACAAATATTTGGTTAAAGATGAATTAATCAAATAATGATAGTAACTCCCAAGTTTTCAAAAACTTATTCATAGAGGCCAAAATCAATGCAAATTAATATGATATGTTTTAAATCCCTCACAAATTAGGAAAACACTTGATAATGTCAAAAAGACTTGCATATATTATAGAGAAGCTAAACGCATTGTTCAACATTGTCTAACAAAACAACCCAATTATAAAATGAAAAGCATGGTTGCCAAAAAGCATGAGGTATCAAAAAATGAATTATTTTAGCTAGAATAGAGACCGTTGTCATGATGTAACACAACTAATAGGTGAAAAAGTGTGAAAATTATTATAATGTAGGAGATCTTAGTTCAAAGTATTAGAGCAAATTATCTTAGAAATATAGTTAATAGTCAAAAGGGTAGTAAAATTAAAAGGTACCAATGCTGCCTTTTTAGAAAGGTGACGTCTACTTACTTTGTAGGACCATAAATAAGGTAAATCAAAGTAGATTGGAAAAATAAATAATATAGGTATCTTTAAAAAGAAATTAAGAGTAAATTCTAGCAAAATTTATTTAGAAAAACTAGATATTGATACCCAAAAAGGATTGATTATGAACCAAGATTGAAATCAAATCCTAAGGCATAAAATCGAGTCTCGACAATGATTTTGGGATTCTTTTGGTAGATTGAAGAGTGGAATTTGATAGCAAACTAGATAAGGTTTCTATAAGCATTAGTTTTGGAAAATTTGGATTTGTTATGACTTTGTAAGAGCTTTACAAAGTCAAGTTTGTTTTCGGATGACTTAGATTTTGTGAAATAAAATAGGATTGACGTTCCTAGTGATTTCAAGAGTTTTATAATAGATCTATTAGTAAAATTCTGTGTATAAATGGTTATAATTGTGCTTAGTATGTATTGTAAATCTTAGCTCGATCTAACAATTGAATTGAGGATTATTGAAGGTTTAAGTGGATCAAGGACTTAGAAAGTAGAATTTTAGGTCTAGTGAGGGTTTTTTAAGATTTCTTGCAATCTACTAGTTGGATTGGAGTAAAATTTTTATATAAGGATATTAGACTTATTTTTCTATATATATAAGAATTTTAAATTCAATCGAATAGTGAAAAAGAGAGATATTGGCTCTGAGAGATTGGCATCAAGGTCAAAGAAGGAGGCTAGCCAATATCCATGCACGTTTTTGAGGCTATCGTCTATTTGGTAATTTCAATCCTTTTCAAATTTTTTATACTTGTTGTCAACTTAATTTTTAAAAAGCAGGCAAATTTTGAATTAAGATCAATGGTTCATTCATTAGTAATTGAGGTATAAAACTATTGTAGGAATTATTAGAATTTGATTTAGAATTTAGGATTTAGTTTAGGATTTGGTTAAGGTTTGATTTAAGATTAGGATTTGATATAGGATTTAGGATTTGATTAAGGTTTGATTTAGGATTACAATTTTGTTAGG